GCGGCCTTCACTGCGCCACGCGAGAACTGAAACTGTCCTGCTCCTTCGGGGGTCAGTGTAGTAGACCGCCAAAACTCCGTCTCGTCATAAGTCGTCGTGTCCACATACGCGCCGCCTCCACCAAAGCATGTATCTAGCCCTGCCTCGTCGAGACTCCATTGTCGGTTGTTCAGTCGAAAAGTAATCGTCTCAAAATGGACTGACATCGACCTCTTCTTCTTCTTCTTCTCCAAGATGTTTAAGAATTCGAGCACCATTCTCTTGTACGTCCCTGGACAAGTACCGAACGCCAACCCGAGTCTGTTCAAAAGAGGCCCCATTGCCTCATGTATACCGACTGCTTGTTCGGCGGCCTCGTCCGGATATCGAGTCGGCTTTATAGCCATCTTCGCGAGTTGGTTTCATCTCTCTTTTTGCTAGTCGTGCTCCAATGTAACTCCTAACTCGCTTCCGGGAGTCAGATTGACCTCGACTTCTTCACGCTGCCAAATGTGAAGAAGTTACATTGGAGTCGAGGTCAATCCGCGTTAGTGTTAGATTATTTTGCAATCATTCATTAGTTTAGAATTAAATCATCATTCAAATTTGAGTTGTCTAAATAATATTTAATCGTCTACATTTTGATACTTAATTATTTTAGCAACAATCTCTGTGGAATACGACATTGCTCGTCGCTTACTGTAGCTACACTGGTAGTGAAAATATTTTGCGAACATCGAGGTTACTTTTTTTTTCTTGATTTAGTATTAACAATCGGATTTTATTTTGAAAATTGGATAATGGCTAGTATGAATACTGATGAAGTATTATGTTTTGAGAGGCTCTGCGAAATTTTGAAGAAGAGGGCTACGACGAGGAGGCTCTGCAAATTTAGTTTTTGAGAGTTTTTTTAGAGAGACGAGCGCTTCTCTCTCTTCAAATATTCAATTTTGAGAAATTGGAGATAGATGATTAATGTAGCGTAAAGCTTAACTTATGGCAATTTGATTTTTTTTTTACAAAAAAAAGAGTGGGCCATGGTGAGAAAAGAGGATTGAACAAGACAAAAGAAAAAGAATTGGACCAAATTTGTTGAATACACGGACTTAAATTGAATTGTTGAATGCTATTTCTTATATCAATACTAATTGTGCGATTGAGGAGTATTTAAGTTAATTTATTTTATTATGCATTTTGTATATAAATTATATATTTATTTTTTATTTTTATATAACTTGCTCGAATTACCTATGCTATACGCTACGCTATCTACGCTACGCAATGTTGAGACAAAAAGGCGATGGATAACACAATACGCCTTTTAAAACATTGCAAATGACTGTAAATGCAGCAAAATATTAAATCACAATACCAAAAGGCGAAAAGTTGATTTGAGACTAAAATTGCTTATGGAGTTAATAAACCAAGACTAAAAAAATGCATTTTTGCCGGTATTTGCTGAAAAATTAGTCTACTCACAAAACTACTCAACTATCTTGCAAATGTTCTAATATTCCAGTTAGATGTCTTCATAAAACTTCTTCACATTTTATTATTTAAGGAATATAGTGATTTTGAGGAATCTTGGTTATTTTTCTAGTTGTTGTAGTTAGGCAAAAACCTTAAGGGCAGTGCTTATAGTTATTCATATAAGAGGACCCAAAATGCGTTTTCACTTTTTCCCCCGAAAAGAAGTTACAAAGGAAATTACCGTGAACACCGTCTGATTTCACATGCCAATCGCGATAAAACTTGCACATATCACATATGAACTTGGCATGCCTTCCTTCTGATCTCCTCAGCTCATCTAAGTGCACATCTGAAAAAAAAAAAAAAGATTTTCAATTAAGAAACCATTTCCTTTCTCTTGAAGGGGAAAAAAAAAACTGCGTGAAACAGAAAATTGGATATATTGACCTGTCATTTTGACTTGGGTCGTGATATTGATGCCAACAACATCGATATTTGCCCCCGAGGTGAATACAATATCTGCAGCTTCTGGGTCCCCATATATCTGCTGGTCAAAAACTTTTCAATTATGATTAGCACTGTTTTTATCAGAAAATTTTGCATCAAACTTCTGATTCTAGCACTTCTGAAATTTTTTTAATCACTATAGTCAAAAAAATAATTACATTTTGAATTGTGATCTGCAATAATGTAGTAGTTCGTTCCTTCTTAATTTTTTTGTCCCTTTTCATATTTATCGGTTTCATAAGGTACAACAGTTGTAAGAGTGCATAGGTTACATACATTTGCTTCAGCAGCAGGATTAACATTTCCTAAGGCAAAGAAAGCCCCGCCAAGTATCACGATTCTCTTCACCTTGCTTGCAAATGAAGAGTCCCTCTTTACAGCCTAAAATTGAGAAAAAAAAAATGAAGATAAATTTGGAGATCCCAAGAGCAAAAAATTGAAAACCAAGAAACTAAACTAACTTACTAGCGCGAGATTTGTAAGAGGCCCCAATGCAAGTATAGAAACTTCACCAGGATATTCAGAGACTTTATCGACTAAAAATTCGGATGCCGATTTTTTGGATTTCTTCGATTTTGGAAGAGAAATGGAGATGTCCCCTAATCCATTCGAACCGTGAACAAAGTCTGCAATACGTGGTGGTCCTCTCTGTGAATAATTTAAATATAGTCCTATTAGAAAGAAGCTGATCTTGAAAGTAAGGGAGGATACAAAAGTTGAACTTTATTCTTAAATATTACTTTTCCTCAAAATCCAATAACTCCTAATTTCAATCCCCATTTCTAGCATAGAAATATACTACGAACGTAATCTATTAAGAACATATTATTCCACTTTTACCTTCAATGGTTCATGATTTCCCTCTGCCACAGGCACATCTACACGTCTGGCAAGCTCGCACTATCCTTTTTTGCATTAAAATTACAGTATTGATCATGAACATGTCCTTAAAACAAGAACCTCAAACATATATTTACTAGAAAGGCACCCTTAGATCAACTAATTAAATATAATGAACACGTACCAGAACCAACGCATTACGCGTGGCATTTTCTGTAGTGACATTACCAAATATCGTCGTTAATCCTAATATCTCTAAATCCGGTGACTGAAATGCCATTAGTATTGCCATGCTATCATCTGCATATCAACAGATTCCAAAGAGCAGTTGTTTCAGTAAGAGGAAGCAAAACAATTCAGGAGCAGATAACTGAAAACAAGAATTTACACTAATCTAATTAATCTCAAATATTTCGTCACTTACTTTCACCCCAAATAAATCTGCGAGTTCACCTTTCATCCATTTCATAAAAACATCGATTTCATAATTCAAAAGCCATCAAATCTTGAGGCAAATTCTAAATTATACCTTAACTTTGTCGAAAAGGCCTGATAATTTATAACTCACTTTTCAGCCAAGAGGAATGTTGGAGTATCACTTGTGAGTTGTCCCACATTGATTCTATAGGGAAAATGAGCCTAGTATATAAGACAAATGAGCTACTCCTCCTATCACCAATTGGTTTCACTATAGTGCACCTAGGCTAACCTCTTATGGTGCGCTTAATCTGCGTGGGACCGCACTCTCTTGTCCCGATTCTCTAATCTTACAAGGAAAAAGGATCAACTAAAAAGCCACTCCCAAGATGCCACATTTAAAGATTCCATCAGCATAAAGAAACAAATAAACTAGTCCAGCACAAAATCAAAATCACCCCACAACCAAAAACTACAAGATAAACTCATAACAAGCTCAAAAAAAACCCAATCTTTATTACATAAATTGAAGAAAAAGGGTTCATATCTCACCAATACCAGGATCTGTATCAATAATAATTTTCTCGAATTTCTTGTCGACACCATTGTCTGAACCTGAATCCACAAACCCATCAGCCACATCGCGCC